TATAATAAGCTACTTATAATCGGAGATAACTGGTAGTTTCTTTAGATATTATAACTGTGATTTATATAACTTAAGCCCTTATTTAAACATACAACTAGGAGTGAAAAACGGGCGGGCCGGGTCGAATATGGTTCGGGTCGAAAACGGGTAATGAAAAAACGGATCAATTATCCGACCCGACCCATATTTAATACGGATAAAAAACGGGTTAACCGGCAGATAATATGGGTTACCCATATTATCCATGACTTCTTGTATATGATCACTTTTGGGAGAATTCTTAGTCTCCCTAACTTGAGGAACCCCCAATTTGAGGCTTTACAAATGTAAAAGTTAGACCCATTGGTTACTCATTGGTTATCCATTTTCTAAATGGATAATATGGTTCTTATCCATATTTGACCTGTTTTTAAAAAGTTCATTATCCAACCCATTTTTTAGTGGATAATATGGGTGGTTAACTGTTTTCGTTGAACCATTTTGCCACCCCTACATACAACTATTCAATGAGAACAATCATCTGCACCTCAATAGTTTAGTTGGGGCTCATAATACGAATCTTCAGTCTGAAACTAGTAGTATCAAATATTAATATCGTGAAATTCATGCAGATTATACTTTGCCTACAGCAACTGGAGCTGCTGCAATGTTAGGTGCAACAATGGATTTACTGAGAATTCGTTATGAAAATGACAACTCCAAAAAACATGACTTCTTGAACCTGATGTTCATTCCAGCAGCATTCCTTTTGGCTGGATTTGTGGGCTCTGGAATATCTTCTGTCTTATCTTCCTTTAGTCTCCATAAAGAGTGAATGATTAAGATTGAAACAAATAGTGCTTCCCCTATTTGTTCTTACAATTGTATTTTTAAGAATAGTGTGTATCACAAATTTACATTATTGTTGTTTTATATTGTATCCAATTTCAAATGTCTATTTATCTTAAATTAATGTTCTATGCATATACTTGGTGAGATATTCATTGCTGAGACATATAGGAGCAACATTTTTGTTTGATAAAGTTGATTCGGGTTAATTTATGCACATTTACACTACTTCACTGACCTGTTGCTTTTCGCCATATGTATCAGATAATTCTATAACGCTTACCATCAAGGTTTAAGCAGATGAGAAAAAATCATTTAACGTTTAGTTTGAACTTTTATCTCCTGCAGTTTTTGTCGATTCAGATAACCGCTAGGCTAATTAAGCCGTTGGACACCAAAGGGGCAACGACTCATTTGACCCGCTCAACATGCCCGAGGTTGGGCCAATCATTGACCCACTCATTTGTTGAACTCATCCCATTTTGATCCAACCCATCTCAGCCCATTTAAAGTTGGGTTGATTTTTAGCCCAAATTGATCGATCAGTAACTTTACTAAAATAAATTAAAAATAATTCTTTTTTTATTTATTTGATATGTTATATAGACCATAACAATAGAAAAAAGTTTATTTGATAATTAAACAATTCATTAGAATATAACACACATTTATTAAAAGTTGAACGGGTTAGGTTATGACCCAAAAAATTTTCCATCTTGATCCAACACATTTCACCTCAAGTAATTTTTGGGCGGATTAATTTATTGACTCAACCCACTTTGACATGCCCAAAATTAGCCCAACTCACTCATTTGATACCCTTAATATTTTTCATCAAAATAATATAGTCTTATTATATATGTACCATTTTTACTTTTTTGTATACGTACACATAATTTAAACAGCAAGTAATATGTTCGGTTAAACCGAGCAACTAAACTTCTCTTATAATAGATCCGCTTCTGCCTCATAAGGCATTGTCTTACATCATAGAGTCAAGTTTGGATGGGCTTATTTTAAGTGACTTTAAGCCAAAATAGCTTTTAAGCTATAAATTAGGAATTCTAGCTTTTGACTTTTGGCTTGTTTTTGTCATTTTAGCTTAACAAGTACTTAAAAGTACTTTTTTAACTTTATCCAAATACTACAAAATAACTTAAAAGCTATTAAGGCTTAAAAACACTTAAAATAAGGCAATCCAAACGGGCTCAAAACTCAAGTGGAAACTTCTTGGATTTCCAAGGTGTAGAGAAGTTGTCTCCTCCCTTCCCCTTGCGAACAGTAAATAATTAAGGGAAACTATCAGTTATTTTTCGTTTATAAGTAGCTCATTACAAAAATTAGTCAATTCATAAAATATTATTAATATTAGCCAAATATTACTAATATTAGCCAATTAGCTATTTGTAGCAAAAAATATCAAATTTTTGCTTTCTTTTGAGTGGGTTATGAGAATAGATTAGGTACATCTTAAGTAGCTTGAATCTCAATTTTGGGATGATTTAGTGAAGTTTTGAGGTGGTTTGAATTGAAAATTCGAACTAAAAGCGGAACATAAAAAATATGATATGTGTATTATATTTGTGTATCACATATGTATCATATTCGTATAACATCTATATCCATGTATACCTGTGTGTGAGATACATGCGCGACACATGTTTGATACATGTGTGGTAGAAGAATTTTTTGAACTCGATTTAATTACGAATTTTGATACAAAACCGGTCCAAATCACCTCCAATCTTCCTCTAATTTTGTATATTGACTTATCTATATGTTTTCAATGAATTTCAACTATACCCATTGAAAAAGTTCCTTTTTTGCTTAGATTTTTGAAATATTTTTTTTTATTTCATCACCTTATTTACTACCTCATCTATGAAGTTTTCTTTCCGTCTCGCATCTAATGTTTCTAATCACGTTTAAAAATATGTAAGGTGATTTTTGCATGTAATCCTTTGAGAGAAAGATCCTTATTTATTTGATTTTTCAAGTTTTATACGTACTTAGCTAGTTTTGGTAAGTCTAAGTTGTGACTTATTTGAGACATTTGTGTAAGTTTTCAATAATTAAATCTAGGGAACGGACAAACCCACAACATCAATTTCTTCTTTCTTCTATTTTTCAGATTAAAAGAAGAAAAAACAATATTTTTAAACTTTAAACCAACTGTAAGTCTGTATAACAGTATCTCATTGTGCCACAGCATTAACACACTCATACAAGCTTTCCAGAATCATAGGAGTATTTCTTTTCTCGATTTTCGTATTTTTCTTTTGTCCAAGTTGAAAAAACCAAGACTAGGAACAAGACACATAAGTTGATTTTAGCAGCTTAGCCAAATATGCTAGTATTAGAAACACTTTTTAAAAGCTTCCAAATATTAATTGCTGCTAAAAGTGCTTTTCAAATTAATTAATCAAACATAAACTGCTTCTCACCAAAAGTACTTTTTAATGAATCACTTTCAAAATAAACTTAACTTAGAAGCTTGGCCAAGCATACGGAGGAAGAGTTTTGGGGCATGTCAGCGATTACATTATGTCATGATCGGGGGCGTATGCAGGAATTTTTATAAGCGGTGTCGAAATTTATAGAAGAACGGGAATAATAGCGTTAATTATCATACTTCTAAATAAAAAATAGTTTTAGTCTGTTGGTTTTGTTGAATTTAAGCAGAAAAGGTCATGAGTTAAATTCTATTTCTTCACTAATTTTAACCACAGAGGCTCTCTCAAATATTTGGCAAAAAAGGTATGCAAGTTGAGGTTTGAACCTTTGACCTTTTAGAACAAAATCAAGCACATGACGAACACACCAAGAGACAATTTATGTACAATAATGACACTTTTTTCTACTTATCCATTTTCTCACAATATTAATACATATAACTAGACACCGCTTCGCTAAGTGTGGACTGGTCATGATACGAAATTTGTGAATACCCCTAGTCTCTATGCATTTGCATCTATACCCGCTTTTTGTGTCACGTTTTAACTTGTGCCCGCTTTGCAAAAAAAATTGCAAGCGTACCCGCTTTTTTGCATAACTTCAGCTAACGGGGCTGAAGTAGCAAAGGCAATCACGCAAAACTTCAGCATTCTAGTAGCCGGGCCTGAAGTTCAGCTCTAGAGCTGAAGTTTTTGTTTTGTAACTGGCGAACTTCAGCTCTAGCGCTGAAGTTTTTGTCTTTGTAACTGGGGAACGTCAGCTCTAGAGCTGAAGTTTTTGTCTTTGTAACTGGGGAACTTCAGCTCTAGAGCTGAAGTTTTTGTTTTATGTCAGCTGAGACGTTGACATGGCTCGTGAAGTCCACCACTTCTAGTTTTTCGTCTACTAAGCACTTTGATGCAGCTTCTATAGCTAGTTGTAAATCTTACTCTATGTTTTTGTCAATGTTAATGCTTAGCAAAAGGTTCCTTCTCCAAATAAACTGGAGCTCTGGTGTCCCATTGTGAAAGCCTTTTACCTTTACCACATCACATAGTCTATAACGATATAAACCTAGGTAATCTAATAATTAACGACAAAAAAACATGAACATCAGGCACATGGAAGTATGAAGATAAGAACAAATATGTACAACAAAACATGGATAAAAAGCATGTTGAAGTCCAGAACAAGGCATAAAAACAAATCATAAATTTTACTATCTATGCAGAATTTAGTATTTTATGTCAGGCAGGCACATTAGCAATGTTGAAGTCATCGTTGTAGAAGAAGAAAGAAGAAAACAAAGGAGGAGAAGGAGGAGAAGGAGGAGGATAAAGAGGGCTGAAGTTGTTTAAAAAGTGGGTACAAGTTAAAAATTTTTAAAAAAATTGTATAGGTTAAATGGGGGCGACCAAATAGGGCGCCCCGTGCAATTTTTACTATATAACTTGTGCTCCAATTAGCGTACGTAGCCGGCAAAGAAAATAAAATAACATAGTGTTTGAAAGCTATCTGTTTGTATTATCCAGGAATGCAACGACAAAAGGACTAAGAAAGCAAAAATAACAAAAAAGACGGTACTTTTAGATTTAAAAATCTATGTTGGGGTTCAAAATATACTCTATAAAAAGTTAACATATAAAACACTAGATATTGGGATTCTTTTTAGACAGTATAAAAGGACCATCAGAAAAAGAAAAGGCTATGATATATAGAAAGGCTTTGAGTTTTGGAAAATGTCTAATTATCCTCAGTATAACTTTGATGAAAAGCCTGCCTCTTCATCAAAAATACCACTGATTACATTAGGTGCTAGGGTGGTAACTCTAGCTACTCTTCTGGTGTCATGGGGTGTGTTACAGACTAGTGAAGTTACTTTTGACGATGGAGCTAGACTTACCTATGATTATTACCGCTCATACAGGTAAATTTTCCCTCTCCTCGCGGTGACTGTCTTGAAGTATAATTTCCATCGAACAATATGTAGAATCCTTTTCAAACGATTTATACGCGATGAAGTATTGTAAACAAATGGCATTGCTGCCACGATCCGCTTAAATTCATGTGTCGCTCGGACTAAGAAAAAAAATTCTCCGTCTCCCATCCATATGTTATAGTACTAGTAAAGTTGGGGGATTTGGAACTATTTGAGGACGTATCATTAAATCGTATAGTATTACTACCCCGATCCCGATCTATGTAATATTTTTTTCGTTTCGAGATTCAAACTTCTTAGGTTTGACTATGCATTTGAACATAGAATTTTTCGGTCTTTCAAAATAAAATTTACATATTTAGAAACTATGTAAAAATATTATAAGTCACAATAATTAATAATTTAAAATATTTAAAAATCATATAAAGAAATTACAGTCAAAATTAATTTGTTTGACTCTCGATATTTGAATATCTTTCACCTCATCAATTGGGAGAAGGGAGCATATTTTTTGTTGTATATCAATTAGACAAGTACTTACTAGTATAATTCTTCTTCTTTTTATTTTTATTTTTTTTGCAGCTATACGCTTTTTGCTGTGATAGCAGGAGCTGTCTACAATCTATTGCATATTCCTTTTGCAATATATTTCCTCATAAGAAAGAAGAGATTGATAAACCACAAGGTTTTCCGCCAGATTGAACTCTATGGTGACAAGGTTAACAACATGAATTTCCACTCATTTCGTTCATCTACATAGCTATTAAGAAATAAGAAAATGAAAAAAGTGGGTCTTATTCGTCTTCTCCTAACTTGATTTTTGTACCCCGATAATGTAAAGAATTTTTACACTATTAGCGTATTTATATACTACAAATGTCGTATTGATTTTAATTTAATTTCTTGAAATTCTTGCAGATTATCTTTGGTATAGTAGCAACAGGAGCTGGTACAGCATTAGGTGCAACAATGGATCTACAGAAAATTGTTTACAACGACGATAACTCAAAATATCATGATTTCTTGAACTTGATGTACATCCCATCTGCATTTGTTTGGGCTGGATTTGCGACTTCTGGAATATCTTCTATATTATCATCTTTGAGTTTCCATAAAGAGTGAATGATCATCAAGAATATTATGGAAAGAAAATACTTCCCCTATTTATAGTGACAATTTTAGTTTTAAATAATACAGTGTATCCATTTTTACATGTTTGTTGCTATGCAGGATTGCCATTTCATTTTTGTTATTATTAGCAATTTCTTTTAATTAGTTAATGATATAGTTTTTGTACAATACGACATCCAAAATAACGAAGAGATGTGTATATTCTATAGCACAAGGAATCTATAATCAGGGAAAATATGAATATATATACTCCCTTTGTCCAACGTTTGTCGCGGAGCTCGAATTTTGAGAGTCAAACTTTTTAATTTTGACCGTGAATTTGGATATAGAATCATTATGTTTTTTGAAGTAATTAAATTACATAGTTAAAAATTACCTATAAAGTACTATAAGTTATAATAGTTAATTCAAAATTTATAAAAACCATATAAAAAAATTACGTCATTTGACTCTTGAAATTCTAACTGTCTCATAAATTACGTACGGTCAAGACTCAAGTGTTTGTACACGTAGGTAAGTAGATATCAACATATATATCTTTTGTTCACTTGTCATTTTCTGCATTCATCCTAATAATTTTTATCTCCATTAGCTGAAAAAATGTTGGTTAATTTATCAGTCAAGGATTAAATTATATACACTAATAATTAATTATCTTTTTTTGCATCATCAAAGTTAGCTTAATATGTCATAACAGGTTATTTACTTGGTAAACTACAAATTGTCTTTTTATAACCTGAATATGCCATTTAAGTTCTAACTGTAAAACAGAACTTAAACTCGTCATTCAATTGGATTTAAAAATAAAAAATAAAAATAAAAATTGGATAAAGGACATATTTGGACGTGGCGATAGTCCCAATTATTATGTGTGAGAAGAAAGGAGGAGGTAGGATATAATCTTTCTAATAAAAGCTTATATAATGAATCCAAATGTGTGGCGTAGTGATTAATAGAATAGATTGAGAATTTGAGATCCTATGTTCAAATCTAATGGACGCAAAAATACTAGATGATTTTGTATACGAGTAAAACTAAGTCTAATGAGCATCCCCATTTTCCAGTGAGGCAAACAGAGCAAGGACGTGACTGTAAGGAATCCGAATCAGAGCCAGGAGCCTCTAGTATCAGGCTCGAGCAAAATACCTGCCCTCGGGGCCATCAAGACTACGTGCCCCGGGTCTGGTTCGAGTCCCAAGACCTCCGAGAGCATTACCAAACGACCGCACACGATTAACAAAGGGCTGTGATATCCGTGCCCAACCGGATATCACGGCGTGAATCTCGGCTCGTATCAGCAGAAAATCAGTAGCGAAAAGAAAGATTTTTACCTTTTATAAAACTAGTATCTATACCCGCGCGTTGCGACGGAGAATATTAAATATAATTTTTTCATAAGAAAGTATTACTTGAAAACATGGTAGACATAAATGAGCTTTCAAATGCTATTATTTTATAAAGATATAAATCCACTGAATTTTCATACATTGAAGTAATAAGGAAATATATGTATCCATTAGAAAATAGGTAGTGAGGAAAGCATTCATAAGAAAATGCAATCTTGGATGATTGGCCATATTCTGATTCTCACAAATTTATTAGTACCACTTGAAAAAGGCCATTTTTACTACACAATACAATGGTACAAATTAACAAAGTTCCTCTTAAAGGAACAAAACAAAATCTTCCTTCGATCCAATTTTATACCGTCAAGCATTGATGGAATAGACCTTCGAATATGAGCCACCGAAAACAGAATAAGCTCTTGGTTAACAAATTCAATATATGAAATGTACTTTTCTTTCTGGTCGAGATGGGTATCAAGTTGTAGAGTATAAAAAATAGAGAATGATGAGTCAAATTAGGAATATCCGGATGTATGCTAATCAAAACAAAATAAAAGTATTAATGGTCTCAACCTCAAATTGTCTAAGCTAATTCTTTCTTGCTTATATCTTCTTCTGACTGAAAGCAAGTTCTATGAATTCCCCATCTTATTACCCGCCCAGACATTCTTTACTGTGTTTCTAAAGATCTTGAAAGTATTCATTTCTTTATTTTAAAGTACTTGTTCCCGACTCTTACCAAAATAATAAAGAGAATAATTAGTAAAAAGCCAAGTTTGATGGTTTTATAAAATGTTTGGCGTAAAGTCTTGTAGTACTTAATGGACCAACCACTTTAATTGGCACCCAAACTCTATCTTTATGACTCATACCAGACATGATATAAAATGACAATATCTTCACACTTGTGTAATCAGCATCTGATCAAGCCATGAAATAATTATTTTGCTATAGAAGATACATATTATAAATAGGAATTTGAATTTAAAGATTAAAACATGTCCTCGGATGAATTAAAATTGATAAGTTTGTTATGCATAATAGAAATGATACAAACAAATATATTTGAGAAGAAGACTTCAGCCTAATCCAATCTATTAGAATTATTTAAAATTGAAGCTAAACACTTTCACATCTATTGCAAAATTTTATCTTTTTATTTAAACTCAAAATTTTTTTTTGTTATTCCACCTCAAAGTTATATTAAGAGTTTTTATAAATTTTCTTTTGTTATTCCACTTCAAAGTTGTCACACCTCCTTTTTCGCTACACCCGCAAGGGCGTAAAGGAGTTTTTCCAATTAAAGGACAATCGAAACGGGATTCGTTTATTAAGAGATTCAGAGTCGCCACTTGGGAGATTATGGTGTCCCAAGTCACCGGTTTGAATCCCGAATCGAGGAAAGGGTTTGACTCTGTATTACAGTCGCGAACCAGAAATTCGGGTAAGGAATTCTGTTAACCCGGGAGAAGGGGTTAGGCACTCCCGAGTTCCGTGGTTCTAGCACGGTCGCTCAACTGCTATATTTGGCAAAAATCTGATTTCAAAACATGTTTTAACTTATGTGCTTTTAATCCTTGAACCGCTTTATCATTATTTTTAACGAAAATTACAACGTCGTGAAAACGTGTTTCGAACCACGTCACATAAATGCACCCGTGGTTGTTGAAACATTTCGACTTCGTTGAGATTTGGATTTGGGTCACATAAATGCGCACCCGAGTTTAGAAATGTAATATTATTAAAATACGCGCCTAAGGAGACTAACGCGTTATTATCTTTGCGGAAGGCCGTGAAATTCGCTAAACGGCACGCCCCGAATTCTAAGTATCATAATATAACCATTTAAAGAGGGCCCCGCAATTTATGCATTTTTGTTTGGCGGGGCGCACCTCATTTATTATTTAAAGGCTAACCTAAAGCAAACTAAGATTTTCTATTTAATTGTCTCTAAACATAAAAGAAGAGGCTCTAATTAATTGGTATTATTAACTGAAAATCAATGGAGGCAGCCCAAGGATGGTTTTCAATAAATTGGGCTTCCTTATTCATGTGAGTTGATTAAAGATATTTAAGCACAGGCCTGGAACATGCCGTTGGAGGGCCCCAAAGATATGGTCTCATTTTGATTATACTACTGGGCCCGTTATTGAGGGGGTCAGGCCCAAGGCATGCGGCTATAAGGACTTCAGCCATGGAGTGGTTTATTTCCAACTGGGCTTGGCATTTGGGCCCGATGACACAGAGGAAAAAAAATGCAATGGCTAATCACTCAAATACTATAATTCAAATTAACTAAGTGGACGACTTGATTCAATAGGCAATGCAATTCGAACTTATTCTAGTTTGAATGCTTATACAGGTGACTAAGATACAGTCATGTTGAACGTGAATAATGAATATCTCAAACTCAGATTCATGCAACACCGGTGGATTCATAGACTTTATGACATGAAATTCGAGCAGAACTAGATTTATATACACAGCCATGATTAACCTCCGATTTCGGATTAACACCTACTATCATTGTTATTGAGCCTAAACTGATTCAATTCTAGCAATTCTAAACAATTTATATAAGCATGAGACGGAAATTTATCTCGTTACTGGGCCACTTCCTAGACAGGTGCGTGAGGTAGCAGACAGGAAATTAACTACAGCTAGTCATGAAATTATTCTATCAAACGACTGTAAAATTAAATACGACTAATGTTCGACTCATGAAGCTCACACAAACTCGAGAAATAGCAATTAATACAATCCAATTAATACATAAATAAGACAAGGATCTGGAAGTAAACTAAATCAAACTTATGCTTCCATTCTTCACACAGATTCATTTCTTCACATTTCTAGCTCATAGTCATCAGAGATACAATTGTGTACCTGGAATTGAAATAGACGATGAGATACAGGAGTCAGGCTATAGCAGTAATGAATAACAGCCCAAAATCACAGCAGTGGATCAATTTCAACTCCAAAATACCACAACAAACCAAGGATGATTTATTAGAAGAATTAAACCCGTGACAAGCTACATGAAAATAGATCAATCTAGGACCAAGCAGACTCGAATTCAACCCAGGACTGCTTATTACCAGCAAATACCCAAACAGAGCTTGACTAATACCCGAGACCATATTGCAAATGAACCTCAGAAAATTAGAAACTAGAATTAATAGCTAACTTGCAACCAATCTGAAAGAATTTTCGATGGAACAGTACTTCTTTTTTGAATTTTCTGTGTTCTTCTTTTTTCTGATTTTCTCAAAAGTTTAGGATTAAGAGAGATTCCAAAATCTAGATCTAGTTTTTTGAATCTGAAAATATTAGAATATTTTGGGGGGAATTTTGGAGCGCTCCAAAACTTTTTAGGAATTTTCAGGGTCTGTAAACTTGTTCAACAAGGCAGTATCCACTGCCTTTTATAGGCAAAGTGAGGGCAGCGCCTCAGATTTTTCAATTTTTCTTTTAGTCCCTCTTTTATTTTCCAATTTTACTCACTTAGTCCTTTATTTTTCCTGAACTTGTTACTCAAGTAAGTACACCTACTTTCTGAATTTCCATCTTAGAACCCATTCTAGAATGTTCTAGTGAACTCCACTTCAGTTTTAAAAGATTCTTTACCCTTGAATTGCCCCAATT